TTGTTAACTTGAAAGGGGGCAGAGGGAAATCCCCCCCCCCCCCCCCCCCCCCCCCCCCCCCCCCCCCACCCCAACTCAACCCCGAATGGCTATAATGATGGTCGAACCTCCACACTAAAACCACACGGCGGGATCGATCCCCGCACTCATCGCTGTTAACTTGAGAGGGGGCAGAGGGAAGTCCCTGCCCACAAAACATCCACGAACCTTCACCCGTCCTCAATCCTGATTGCCTGGTTGTAATTCCTATCGCATTTGCATGCACAGAGCATCGCGGAGAGCGAGGGCAACCTTGTGGCGCTCGCCTGGGACACTGGCTGCGCCAAATCTTGCAAACCGAGGTCTATGGGAACGGTGTTCCCTTCATGGTCGCGATCAAGCAACAAACGCTCGCCGAACGCGACCCCGGCCTCCAGCAGCAGATTGTGGATGATACACACGACAGTGAATTGCTGCGGGAGGTTATTCATGTTCGTCTTGTGATGACGGAGGAATAACCTCCACATCCCCTTCAGTCGTTTGAATGCTCTTTCCACGACCCCCCTCGTTGTCTTCTGACGTGTGTCGAAAAAAGCGATGTCCTCCGTCTGCTCCGACCCTCCATATGGAACCACAATCCACGTGCGCGGGGCGTAACCGTTGTCCCCCAACAAGTACCCTGTTGTCCTCACCCCCCCCGGTAGGACGACGGGGTCCGGGTTGAAGATGTTGCCCGCCTCTGCTCGCTTGAGCAGTGAAGAGTTCCGCAGCACGCGTTGATCGTGGACGCATCCAGGATAACCGACGAAGACGTCGATGATACACATGTCGAGGTCGACGATGACCTGCGCCACCACTGAGAACTGCTGCTTCCGATCGAAGTAGTTTTTGGACGGCGCATTTGCAGGCTTGTCCACATAAATATGGGTGCAGTCGATGGCGCCGTAACAATTAGGGAAACCTTTACCGCTGAATGCTCGGACAACTTGCAGGAGACGACAGCCGGTAGGAATTGCTATCTTGTCCGGATACGCAGCCAGTATGGCATTTGTCACATCTTCCACAGCCTTGATGCCTGATGACCTCCCAATGCCAAATGACGACGTGCCGCTGTCGAAAGTCTTTCCTGATGCCCACCGGTACAACGCGTAAGCCACGATATGGTCGGGCTGCAATGGCTCCCGATAGTGAGTCAGTCTGCGCTGAATGAAAGGAATGCACGCGGCAAGGATGTCGTTGAACACCGTCCTCGTCATCCGCAGTTTGTCATGGAAATAGTCCTCGCTCGCATCGTCGGCGATGGTGAGGTCCCTCCATGTTCCACCCGTCCTTGTTTTCACCCACCACCTTGGCGTCTCCTTCGGCATCACACCCGCCACGATTGCATTCGACAACAAGAATAGCGCATCCCATAGGCCTGGCGAGGAGTGCACGTCCATCAGAGCCTGGGCTATGGCGGCCTCCCGTCTGCCCATCTGTCTTCCGGTGGCCCGCCGCAGGTCGCTCACCGTCTACATGTGATGGGAAGCTGCAAGCAACGCCGTCCCTAATAGAGACCTCTCCCTTGCCGTGAGCCTCCTCGCCCCAGGTGCATCAGCGATGCCGTCTTCCATCTCGCCTACTGCAAACACGCGCGCAGCTCACTCGCCGGCTCGCGGGCTATGGCGACCTTCTTGCAAATGCGGCAGTAAGCACGGATATTTCCAGCACGCGCTGTCCACGTACGTGCGGCAGAATTCAAATTCAAAATTTGGCCATCGCGCACACTTAATATCGCAGGGCGCACGTACGTGCGCCCGGTAGGCTGCCTGCCCAAACGGGTCGGGCCCGGAAATTGCATGTCCCACGGGCCCGGAGCTGCTGGACAACTTCTTGTTCGTCGTACTGCCTTCACGGACGTCCGTGCAAGGATTCATGAGTGGCGTGGAACGAGGCCCTATGCCCTAGACAAGGCACACGTCCGTGGGAGGGTACTTTCTATTCCAAAATTTAAGAGCAATTTCTCACAACATGATCCATATGAGGGATGGGATCCAGCGGCCTACCTCAGTTGGTTAGGCATGCAAGTGGCATTCAGGAGGTTGCGGGTTCAAGCCCCATGGCCGCCTGCGGCGCACTTAGTGCCAATGGACTGTGATAGTCCTCTGGATACCCCTGATCGGTATTAGCGGGGTCTATGAGGGGTCCTCTGGATACCCCTGATCGGTATTAGCGGGGTCTATGACCAACACGGGTGTGAGTGTGACCAACACGGGTGTGAGTGTGAGCGCGATTGGGTTGTGTGTGGTGTGTGGGAGAGTGTTGACCATAGCCTCTGCTGCTACGATGAGAAAGGGAGGCACAGCTACTGGCAGGTCTCGGTCTTTGTGTTAGCCAGACCCCCACTGGCGACCCCAAGGTACGTACCTTGTTTTCGGGTTAAGACGTTAGGACTTTTTCGACTCAGCTTTTGACTCAGCTCAGGACGTGATCTCCCTCAGATGCATCTTTTTATATTTAGAAAAGTTGCTACCCGTAAATGTGGTCCATCGGACGGCAGGGGTTCCATCTCGTATTCACAACGACGGAGGTATAGGCAGGGTTTCCCAGTGACAATCGGGAACGCCGGCCTGTCAGAAAAAAAAATCGAAAGTCGGCGGTCAACATTTTACCGCCCCTTCGCCACACAGGCTGTCGAGGGGCAGGGGTTTTGGTCATGACTCATGAGTCTTGACCAAATGGACCCCGCCGTTCCACAGGGCACGGGCGTCATGGAACAGTCCCTGACAATGCAATCACTGTGATACTCTCTCTCCCCCTCTCCCCCCCTCCTCCCTGTCGACGTCCTCCCACTCTCTCTCTCTCTCTCTCTCTCTCTCTCTCCATTGGTCTTCAATCACCTCTCTGCCATGGCTTTGATCTCACTCGAGACTCTTGACCGGATGGTGGGAACCACCGCCTTTCCCCGAACACGACGCATCCTGATCACAAGTGCTTGCAGGCTGTATTTCCGGGCCGATGCCGTCTTGACTAAGGTGCCGTTGCGTTGTATTCGGGGGTAGTTCTCGCCTCAGGGGAGTGCTCAGATTGGGCGACTCAGCCAGCCAGGTGTGCGACGAGCCGTTGCCACCGTCCCTGCTGATTGAGCGACAAGGACAAAGCCCAAACGAGAACGTCAGAGTAGTTGCCGTCTGCGACGAGCCCTCGTGCGACAACGACAAAGAAGGAAAGAGGCCGAACGCGGGAACTTGTCAGTCAGGTATGCTGCTCAATGTCTCCGCCCCGCTCTTTCTACCTCTCTACCTCTCTCTCTCTCTCTCTCTCTCTCTCTCTCTCTCTCTCTCTCTCTCTCTCTCTCTCTCTCTCTCTCTGTCCCTCCCTCCCTCCCTTCCCTTCCCCCCCCTCCTCTCTCTCTCTGCTTATCGGCTTACTACTCGCCAATCCCCCCTATCGTTTGGGCTCTTTTTCTTTCCTTTTGGGGAGCAGTCTCGGTACAGATCTGTCTGTCTGCGATACTAATGTTTCTTTGGTGCGGTCCTCCCGCTTTGCCGGCATGTGTTCCTCCTCTTCCACTTCCCTCGGCCCCTATGGGCCGCACTCCACTACACAGCACTCTACGTGCATTTGGAGGCCTTCTGGACCAGGTGCATTTGGACGAGCCCAAGATTTTGAATGCATCGGGTCCAGAAAGTGTCCAAATGCATGTAGAGTGTCGTGTAATGAAGCGACCACCATGATTCCGTAACCTGTCTCGGCTGCGCTCGATACTACAATCTCTCGGCGTACCTTCTATCCTCCTCCAGCGTGTCATCCTGTTGCGTTTCTCTTACCCGCTCCACGTGTCTCTGTCCCACAGACACTTGTTTTTTTCCTACGGACATGTCGTGTCCCCTCCTCGCACAGAGACGTGTCCCGTCCTCGTATAAACATGTGTCCGCTCCTCGTATCGAACCATGTCTCCGCTTATCTCAGATCGTCCACGTGTTTCGTCGTCCAAGTGTCTTGATCGTCCATGACTCGAGTCTTCTCGTACATACATGTATATCTCCTCGTATAGACACGTGTCTCCTTCTGGTACAGACACGTGTCCCCTCTTACGTGGGTGTCTCTCAGATGATCCACGTGTCTAGATCCTCCATTTCTTCCTCAACGTGTCCGCTCTTCCACGTGGCTTAAATCCACGACCTGTCTCCTCCACGTGTCTCGTCCTCTACGTGTTTCTTCCTCCACGGGTGTCTTCCTCCCTTTTCCCTCCTCTTCTCCTCTTGCTCGTCGATCTTACTCGTCAAGATTGTCATTCTTTGGGTCTCCTCTTCTCCCCCTTTGTTATCCCTCCTCTTTTATTTACCCGCTCCTCCGCTTCCCTTTCTCTCTCCCATTCCCTCGTCACTCTTTGTCTCCCTGTTCGTCGTCCTTCCTCTCTGTGTCCTATCTCGAGTTCTTCCTCCTTCCTGCCCGTTCTCCATTTGTCTATCCTCTCTGGCGTCCTTCCTCTTTCCCGCCATTTCTCCATTTGTCTATGCTCTTTGGCGCGCTTTCCCAACGGACGGCAGTTCGGACGCGAGGGTGCAAATGGGTCTTTGTCTTCGGTAGATGAGGACCCATCTCTGGAAGTCCTGTTTTTGTTTTATTTTATTTTAAAATTCAACAACTCCACCAATTCAAATGGGTTTTGTATCCCCTCGCTCTTGTCTTCTTCTTTTTGATCCAGCTTACGTGTCTCGTTTTTGTCCTCGTCCTCTACTTCACATTCCCTTCTCTCTCTCTCTCTCTCTCTCTCTCTCTCTCTCTCTCTCTCTCTTTTCTTCTCCATCCCTTTCTTCTCGTTATGCTTTGCTTCCTTTCCCCTTTCCTCCTCGGTCTCCTCTCCTCCTACTCCGCTTCGCGGTGCGGAGGCCCGCTCCCCCCCTCTCCCCCCGCCCCGCCCCCCACCTCAGGTCGCGGAAAGAAGATCCGGCTGTCTCTCACTCAAAGATGTTAGGACCCTTTTTTGCCGTTGCCGGCAGCCTCTTGTAATTATTATCTATAGTTCTTGAAATTAGTAAATTACCAAATTAGTATATATATAAAATGGACTTGTTACATTCGAGCTCGCCAGCGTCGACATCCAATACATGTAACTCGCCTTACACAATGGTTTCGACGTATGCTCCGCTGGTCCGTGCACCATCCTCTTCCACCCTCTCCTCCCCTTTC